TATATATATATATATATATATATATATATATATATATATTTGTATATTTGTATATTACTAATATTTAATATACAAAAGATATACATATTTTATACATAATTAATATATATTTTTTGTATATTGGCTAACGTATATAATTATTCTAGGCTGACTGGCCAAATGCGTAACTTGCCCTCTCAAATTCTAGTAAATATCACTTTCCCTAAAATAAATTAACCTATTAAGAGAAATAATTTTTTAAACTTTTCTTTTCTCTAATTATGCCTTGCACAAATAAAGGGTAAAAGAAAGAATTCTTTTCCAGTTTTGCCTTAGGTCTTCAGTCCCTCTACTTCTCCATCTTCAGAAGGCTTCCCTTTTATTTCTCCCCCTCTCCTCAATTTTCAATTTATCTTCCTTGCCAATTTGAAAAAAAGGAAAAAGAAAAAAGAAAATAAAACAAGAGTAGATGGACCTGTTCATTTTGTTGGTGATTCCCTGTAATTCCCTCCCCATTTATCTCTAAAATAATTGATTTTTTAGTGATTTATACTCTATTAGGTAAAAATTTAATTGATTTTATAGTCCTAAATATTATGATTTTCTATCTAATTTAAATAAGGAATAATTTAAGATGTAAATATCTTAGTGGATTTTAATCGCCTAAATATTATGAAAATTATTATATAAAAGACGATTTTGTCCAATATAAAATGTATTTTAAAAGGATAAAAAAAGCGAATAACATTTCATTAACAACTTATTTGGATGGTTGTTACCCATTGTATTGTGTCGTATTGTTACTTTAAATACGATGTTTATTTTGATTGTTACTTAAATTTTATTGTATCGTATCGTTAAATCTATCGTTACATAACGACGAAATGTGCCACTTTATGTAACGATCGATTTGATGTGGTCGCGTCGTTACCTTATCTTTTTCTCTAAATCTCACCCTTCATTATTATTAAATAATTTAATTTTATCATTTACCCTACCTTTTTATATAATAATTTTACCCTGTATCATAATTGTTCTTTATAATATTGCAAGTTTATTTTTCATATTGCTGGTGCGTGATATTATGAAACGATGACAAACGACACAATTTATTCAAACATTGTATTTATCAAACGATACAGTATAATACAATACAGTACGATACGATATATTATGAAATGATACGTAACATAGATCCAAATAAGTTGTAAGAGAATTCGTGCTTTTAATATAGTGTATAGATATAGATAGATTATTATTATTATAATTATAATAATAATAATAAGAGAAACCTGTCCATTTATACGAGACCCTAAAGACTGATTCCAATTTCCGAACGTCAAAAGGAGCCCCGCGCAAAAGCGTGCGCTGCACAAATATACAAACACTCTTCCTTTGCAAGCTTTTCCCCATTCACTAGCAAAGTATATAAGTAGTTTTCAATCCTCTCCAATTCCTTAGCGCTGAAAATTTCAACAACTTCAAAACATTCAAACAATGGCCACCATTAACAAGCTTAAAGTGGATGGCCTCCGTAAGCAACTTTCAAGTCGCGGTCTTGACACCACTGGAAACAAACCCATTTTGGTTTGCACTTAATAACCCTCACTAATTCTTTTCTTTAAATGTATTTTTCATAATGCTGTTGTTTTACCCAAATTGCAGGTAAGGAGGTTAGAGGAGGCAATTGAAGAGGAGGAAAACAAGAAACAATTAAACGATGATAGAAAGAGATTGAGGGATGATGATTGTGATTCAAATGGGAAGAAGATGAAGACTCTGACTGTGGAGGAGGAGTATAAGAAGATGAGTGTTAAGGAGTTAAGGGAGTTAGCCACTTCTCTTGGGGTTTCCACTAATGGGTCAAAGAAAGAACTTGTTGAGAGGCTTTGTGCTGCTTCTGATTCACAGAATGACATGTCAAAAGATAATGTTGGAGGTATTGCAATAGGAATTTAAGTTATATATATTGAGTAATGAATTTTCTTAGGGTGTGTTTGGTACTAAGGAAAATGTTTTTGACGGGAGAAGTTATCCCGGAAAATAAGTGATTTTCTTACTTATTTTTGGCGTTTGGTAAGTAAACAGAAAATATTGTTCCAAAAGGATATGTATATGTATATATAATCTAAGCAAACTACTNGGGTGGGGTGGGGTGTCGAGGGTGCGGAGGAGAGAATTGGAAAGTGTTTTCCTCCGTGCCAACACACTCTTAGCGTAATTTAACCTCACTTATCATTTAAAACTTTAACTCTTACAATAGTGTTGCTGTTTGGCAAATCTCTTCTACTACTTTATAAGTACCAAATTAATTAAAGTTTAACTTATGAAATTTAACCATCAGTTAGTTCATTAACATAACTACCTTTGTTTTGGAACCAAAGCTTAGTTTTTTGGTAGCAGTTCTGTCCAAATTTGAAGATCTTAAGTGAAATATTATACTGAAAATTGGTCAGGCCAATGGAGTAATTTATGTTGGTTTAGGCAGTTGTTTGTGGGATTATGTGTGTCCTAACTGCCATTGATGGTGCTTGAGTGCATTGCTGAGTACAGACTTAACATAGTCTTGTTTTAATTTATTTTCACCTTTCACATTTTTACTTCTACTTCAGCCCATAATTTAAGCTTTTTTAAGTTCGTGAAAGGAAGTGGCTTTGACCAATAACTTTCAAGTGTATTAGTAAGTTGTCAATTTGAGATGAAATGTTTTCAACTCATATTACTTTTCATGTAGCTTTGTGATTGTCTAAATTTTTATTTTCAGGGTGAATTAGTTTATGATCGATTCAAGAATCATTAAATCAAAAGGGACTAAATGTTGATACTTAGGGAATAGCTGTATACTAAGTAGAATTGAACATTTTAGACAGTGGATTATCATCATAATTACTGGCATATACACATTAGTTAATGCCACAAAGTGGTAATATGCACTATATAGTACTGATTGATAACGTAGGTGTGTGGTTTTGTGTTAAACTTAGTGCTACTTGTTTAATCCGAAGCTAACTTGACTATTTACTCTACCTTTTTGGTTGTTCTTTTCATCCTTTTCTTTTAGTGATATATGATTGTGTCTTGTTTACTGTTAAAACAATTGGCAGATGGGGATGAAGGTGAGAGAGAGAAATTGATCACAGCAACAAAGAAGGGTGCAGCTGTTTTGGATCATTACCTGCCAGATGACATCAAGACACGTTACCATGTCCTGCAACAAGTAAGTCTTTTTCAGAAAGTTTTTGCTTCTGGCTGCAAAGAAGTATTTGCATTGTTCCTGTTTTCTCTTTTTCTTATTCTTCTAATAAAGAAGGTTTTGATTCAACGAATTCTTGTTGATATGCAGGGCAATGAGATTTATGATGCCATATTGAACCAAACAAATGTTGGGAACAACAATAACAAGTTCTATATCATTCAAGTTCTAGGTTAAGTTCTCTTTGTTGCCTCACATAAGTCTTAATTTGTTGGTAGGGAACTGCCTAGCAAAGTGTAAAAGGTGCTTTGTTTTCCTTTTAAAATGGTTTTCCATGCTATGGGAGCAATATACACTACAAATTCTTCCAGTTAATTGGTGGTTGTATCATCTGACGACTTCTGATGGCTGGGAAGAACATGAGAACAGCTATGGAATATTGTATTTTGGTTCATCATGTTCTAGGAAAAAATAACAATCTTTACATTTTTTTTGCATACTAACTGAGCATTTTCATTCATCTTTCAAAAAAGTTTACAAGAGATTTGAGGGAGCTTTACAACATATAAAGCCTCCCTAGATGCCTGAGAAGATAGCAAACTATCATACATCTCAGATAGATGAATTAAATGCTAAAGGTATGAAGAATACTAACTACACAAGCTAAGGTATTCCTCCAAAAAATTAGCACCAGGTAAATACTTCAAGGTGGCTCATAAACAATCATAGCTGGCTTTCTCTTCTTGATCCGGAAAGAAGGGATTTGCTGTTTATCGGTATTTAGAAGTCCCTTAACATGACTTGGTAAAGTGTATATGTGCAATTGGTTCCTGTTGGGTCCCAGGGAAGTCATTTTATCAGCAACTTTATTTGCCTCCCTGAAACAATGATTAGTGAAGACTCCAGGAATGCTCAACATCTTCTTTATCTCCTTAACAGTGTCTTCCAGTCTCCACGGTGTTGCCCAGATACCATTAATACAGTTCTGAAGCAATATTGAATCAGCTTCTGTAATGATAAGATTATATCATTGTTCAATGCACCAGTTTAGTCCAAACATGAGAGCCCAAGCTTCAGTCCAATCACTGGTACCTTGCCCCAGAGGATTAGAAAAAGCCATGATGAATCTGCCTAGACCGTCTCTTATAACTCCTCCTCCACTACAGTGACCACCAATGCATGAACCATCGCTCTTTAGCTTGACAAAAAGAATAGGAGGTTTGATCCATTTGGCTATAGTAGTTTGAACTTCAACTGTAGACTGCTCAGTCATCTTGCAGATGTCTTCCCAATTATCACCAAATCTAACTTTCTTGAACTGCAGCTTGATTAGCTGGGAAATATTGAAGCTGACCATAGACTTGGACCTTATAATGGAAGGGTTTTCTTGATCATACTTGGAGCTGCATCTAGATCTCTATAGCTCCCATAGAATAATAGGAGTATGGTCTTGAGTCTTTGCATATTTGAAAGTTTTCTCAAATCTAATTATTTCATTAGCCTTCTCCATATTTGCTTGCCTGATTTTATTCATCTGATTGCAGAGAATGATAATGGTGGGAACTTCCTAGTGTATACTAGATGGGGCAGAGTTGGTGCAAAGGGTGGAACGAAGATCAATGGTCCCTATACGTCTGCAGATGCTGCCACCTCTGAGTTTGAGAGCAAGTTCTATGACAAGACCAAGAACTATTGGTCTAACCGGAAAGATTTTGTTTGTCAACCAAAGCAATATACTTGGTTGGAAATGGACTATGATGAAACTGGGAAAGAGTCATCTGTGAGTTGTTGCTTGCACTATTGAGGCAATTACGTTCATGTGTTTAAACTTGTTATTTTTGCATTAACATAGAATCTGTTGCTATATATCACAATTATGTAGATGTGTTAAATGCATTATTTTCTCCATCAACTTAGAACTTTTTGCTCTCTTTCTGCTGTTGCATCTGAGTTCAGTTGTGAAAAAACAGTATTCACACGATAACTTGAACTTTTTGTCATATGAATAAGCAGTTCCATTTGAAGTACCATTCTTGTTTATCAAGTAGACTTGCAACAGCTATACAGTAATGTGTACTAGTGGATCTGAGGTCTTGATGAACCTTTCAAACAGGTCCAAGAACTGTCCAACTCAATACTACAAAGTCAACCTCATGAGACTAAGCTAGAGGCCCGGATTGCAAAGTTCATATCTCTTATTTGCAATGTCAATATGATGAGGCAGCAAATGATGGAAATAGGTTTTGCACTCTTGTCACTCCATTATGATTCTTATCTTTCATTGCTATGTAATTTTGACACTCCACAATGAGGTTTAATTCATCACTTCTATCTTAACTGCTATCTATTTTTGTTAATGTTGGACAGGGTACAATGCTAACAAGTTGCCACTCGGTAAATTAAGCAAAACAACTATTTTAAAGGCAAGTATCTGGCATGTTATTTATGCATGGGTGTTTCATATCTGAACCACTAATTTGTGTCGTCATATATTTAAATCTGTATGGCGCTGAATGACAAATAGTTGATGAAGCACAAATCAAACCATGTAAAGATCCGTTACACCTACATTTGTTATCTTGAATTTGATACTCCCTTGGTTCCAGTTTACTTGATTTGACTTGACCATTTCCCCTGATGTTCTATTCCTTCTTTCTAACATTCGAACATTCTAAGTGTTATAACCTAATTCTATAACATCGAATATTATTTTTTGTGAGATGAATTTTCCTCCCACCTATTTTTACCCATTTAAGCAATTTCCTTTATTTTGAATCTGATAAATCAGTCAAACTTTATCTATTTCTAAGCAATCAGTATTTGTCAACTAGCTTCATAACTTGGGAAGGATTGTGTCGTGTCTTTCCATGAAAAAAGTTAGGTTTCTAGAATTGGTTCTTCACTTTTTTTAAAGTCAAGAAAACTATTAAAACTCGCAATTTTTTGCTTCTTTTTCCCTTCCCCTGAAAAGAATGACATTTGCTAGCACCAGAATGCTTCCAGGCCTTAAGGAGGTACATCGTAGCATTAGGGCGAATCTGAGCCGCACTCTTGTGCCATATCTGAGATTATCAGAATTAGTCCCCCCAAAAGAAAAGAGAAGGATTAAGAAAAGGAAAAAGATCGGGACAATTAAATTGGATTCAAAAATGAAATCTGCTGGGTCGAAGGTGGAATCTATTTTTTCCAATTAAGAGGTCCCCTAGAGTTCATGACATCAGTGTGTCATCTAATTTATCTAAATTTAGTACTGTCTCTGGGTTCAAATTGTGCCGGGATTAAGGATGGTGGTGGTAGCGGGTTTTGGAAGTCTACTCTCATTTGGCTTCAACTGGTTGGCTTTTCCTATTTATATTGTTTCTATGTAAATAATTATAAGTATTGAAGATTGTAGGGAGAAAAAGTTAGGCAGGAAGTGGATACATGTAGCCAGAAACTTTTAAATTCTCTTTACTATGATCGTTCCAGCTGTCATGCTTTATTACACTGACCAAGACATAAGCGAATAAGTAAAGGGATTACTAAATGAGAGCAAAAGAGAAATACTCTCAACTATTCAACTGAAAATTGGTCTTTGTTTAGGGCTATGATGTCTTGAAAAGGATTTCTGATGTAATTGGCCAGTCCAACAGAAAACTGCTTGAAGATTTGACCAGGTAAGCTTGCTTCATCCCTACTGTGAGTTGTCTGATTATGGTCAGTTGGTCACTGATCGATGCATATCAGCTTATCTCTAATCATGTTGTCTCTGGGACTTTACAAGCTTCAGGAGCAATCTTAAGACATGAATATATGGTTTGATGTTTCTTCGCTCTTATGTTGCAGTGAATTCTATACAGTCATTCCTCATGATTTTGGCTTCAAGAAGATGCGTAAGCCATCTTAGTTCCTATTCCTTTTCCAGGAAACCTCGTGTTGCCTCCTTATCCTGCTTCATCTGCTTGCTTGAACTTCCAGTTTTTCTTCTCCTCATATTCTTTTTCTCAGTGACTCTGAGGTGGATGGTGGTAGTTTTGTTAGAAGGATTTTGCTTAACGTGCTGATATACTTGTTGACTTGCTGTCAGGTGAGTTTATCATCGACACCCCTCAGAAGTTAAAACGCAAAATTGAAATGGTGACTTCCTTTTTCTCTTTGCTAAATTCACTCCTTTTCTCTTTCGTCCCAATCATTATTTGCTATTTGCTATGTATGTATTACTCTATCATGGGTGCATTTCTATTAAAGGGATGGAAGTGTCTGCGCTTTTACCAAGTTAATTGGACTGATCATATGATGTTTCATCAGAAGTATCAACCATCATTTCGATCTAGAAGCATGGATTTCTTATTTATTGTTAGTTGATGTTCTGTACCAATGAGTTTGGTTCAAAGTTGCCAGTTGTATGCCTTTAACGAAGGAGATATAGGTGGTTTATGCAGATGGGCTAACAAAGAATATGTTAGAAAATCGAAATTAACTGGTTTCAGTCACAAATTATCACTACAATGAAATTTTAGTTCAATGGCTTTTAACGTTTATTCTCATGCTGCTTGTTTATTCTGTTACTCATTTTCGCCTGATCTTTTTGCTGTGGTGTAACTCTTGGAACTAAAAGGTCGAAGCTCTTGCTGAAATTGAAGTTGCAACTAAGTTATTGGAAGATAACACAGAGATACAGGTACTACGTTGCTGAGTCCCGTTGAAAGTATTCTTTTATTTCACTTTATCTTTGGTGCTAAAAGAACATTCGTTTATGTATAGATAAATATTTTGGAAGCTCAAAAATAAAAGTCCATAAATTTTGTCTCCATCTTGGTGCATCTCAGTGAAATGATTTTTGATTTATCTTTAAAATAAAAAAGAAACAGTTTAGTTGAAGCTATTTTCCAAGAGATCTGGCTTTTAACACAATTTAATTTGCTTTTGCACACAATAACTGTTTTGAGGATTAAGATATGATTCTGAATTTGCATCTATATGCCTTAACTTGTCATCTTCTTGTAGGATGATCCTTTGTATTATCAATATGAACAACTTCGTTGCAAACTTATTCCAGTTGAAGTTGGTACCCAGGAATATTTCATGGTATGAACAAGTTCTTGCTGGATCTATTACCTCATGGTCTTTTATCTTTTGAATATTGTATTCCTCCTTCATTCAGTGTGTTGATCAGCATGACAAGTATGAAAATTGTGAATATTATTTGTTCATCTTGTCCATGGAGTGATCACCACTTCATGTCTTTTCGTCTCTGATTATTATTCATGTCTGGAGTTTATAAAGCTGAGTTATGTTATTTTTGTCAGATTGAGAATTACATGAAGAATACTCATGCAAAAACACATTCTGGTTATACTGTCGGTATTGTTCAAATATTTAGGGCGTCAAGAGGTGATGAAACTGAAAGATTCCAGAAGGTGATTGCAAATCTCCCATAAAATGCCTTACAACAGCTGTTTCTATTTATAACTTATAACTACTACTACCTAAGCCTGATGTAAACATGTGAACTTTTGGAAGCAGTTCTCGAATACAAGTAATAGGATGCTTTTATGGCATGGTTCTCGGCTGACAAACTGGGCTGGCATTCTTTCACAGGGTTGTTTGCTAATTCTCTTGCTTAAGTATTTTCAAGCGTGATTTAAATCTTCAGTAGATTCACTAAAGATGGTTCCTGCGTGATACCGTAGGTTTACGAATTGCTCCTCCAGAGGCACCTTCGACTGGGTATATGTTTGGTAAAGGTGTTTATTTTGCTGATATGTTCTCCAAAAGTGCAAATTATTGCTATGCATCCTCTACTGCTAGGGATGGTGTGCTTCTGTTATGTGAGGTTGGTTAGCCCTTCAATCCAGCCCAATTTTTGTTCTCGTCTCTTATTCCTCTAGACGAGTCCCTTTTACTTGTCACAACCTCTCTATATCTAGCTTGCTGTTTCATATGATTTCTTTCTCAAGCTTTGGATAGGAGGGAAGCCTCCTGCAATCCAGAAAGTAATAGTAGCATTTGCATACTGATGACCTTGCTACTTCCTTAACAGGTTGCTCTTGGTGACATGAATGAGCTTCTGTCATCAAACTACAATGCTGATAAGTTGCCTTTGGGAAAGCTAAGGTTTCAATCTTCTCATATTTATGTTATTGCTTAAGATAGTAAACTCAAAATACAACAAAAGGAAAAATTAAACTAACTATAGATATAGACAACCATGTCTTGAGCTTGAAAAGAATGATTCACGGGAATATCATGATTCCTGATATTGCAGCACCAAAGGAGTCGGTGCTACTGCTCCAGATTTTTCAAAAGGTCATCTACTTGAAGATGGTGTCGTCGTTCCTTTGGGAAAGCCAAAGAAGCAACCAGACCACAAGGTTTGCTCTAGCCTTGTTGATGAAATCCCTTTTATTGCACGGCTCCTTTTGCTCAAAATCTTATATGCATATCATGTTTGTGATTGCGAAATTGTGAATGATAAATCCTTGTTTGTGTTAAAATGAACATCAATATCTTACTTCATGATAGCTGCCTTGTCCCTTGGGCCTTACCATTTTTGTGATATATATGTATAGCAGATCATGTAAGCATTATTTACATGTTTCTTTGCAGGGACATTTGTTGTATAACGAGTACATAGTTTACAACGTGGAACAAATAAGGATGCGCTACATTATCCAGGTTGAGTTCAATTATGGGAGATAATCACTCTAAATATATGGTTATAGATTTTCATCTTAGTTTTGACAATCAGAATATTGTTTAGGTATTTTATCATGTAAATTTATACTTTTGATCGTCTATGTGATTATAGCAAAGGTAGCACGAGAAAACTTTGCCAGAAATGAGTGGTTATGCTTATAGTGAATTCTCCCTTTTCCGGGCCTGAGATACTAGGTAGTGGTATTCCCTTAAGTATTTTTGTTTATGTAGAGTTTTGTTGATTTGGATGTATCTAGTATTACTGAACAAGATTCACAAGCTATTAGCAAGGGTTAATTTGAAATGCAAAACCTGTTCTATACAACTTTATATTATCTTATAGTTCATCACACATATTGGTATGTAATTGCTTATAAATTCTCTCACGTGTTCGTTGACTCACAACGGCCAGTTATTTTTTTGTTGTTTCTAAATGATGACTATATTTCCATTCAATAATTTCAATACAATATATTCCTATGACATACCCCTTTTTTTCCACTTCTCTTTTTCTGTTTTTTTGTTTTCTCCATTGTGGTTGTTTTCCAACCTACCACAAAAAAGTTAGGGAAACTACCAGCTATATCTATTTATAAGTAGCTTATAACAAAAATTGGTCAATTCACAAAATATTACTAATAATAGTCAAGTGTTACCAACATTAGCAAATTAGCTTTTTGTAGCAAAAAAAGGGTCAAATTTTTGTTTTATTATGAGTGAGTGTTATTATAATAGATTGGGTACACCTTAAGGTGTTTGAATCTCAGTTTTGGGATGATTTGCTAGAGTTTTGAGGTTGTTTGAATTAAAAATTCGAAGTAGACGATGAACATGAAAAAAATTATGTGTATCACATATGTATTGTATTTGTATCAAATGTGTATCACATGTATATTCATATATACCTGTGTGTGCGATACATGCCTGTATTCGCAGAAGAATTTTTTGAATTCGATTTTAACTGTCAATTTTGATACCAAATTAGTCCAAATCACCTCAATATTCCTCAAATTTTGTATATTGACTCATCTAATACGTTTTCAATGAATTTCAACCATACACATTGAAAAAATATCCCCTTTTGCTTAGACTTTTTGAATCTCGTATATATGTATGTATATATATATATATATATATATATATATATATATATTTCATCACCTTATTTGTTACCTCATCCATGAAATTTCCTTATGCATCTAATGTTGTTGATCATGCTTAAAAATATGAAAGGAGATTTTTGCATGTGATTCTCGGAGAGAAAGAACCTTGTTTATTTGGGTTTTCAATTTTTATATGTGCTTGACTAGTTTTGATAAGTCTATGATTAATGGCTAGAGATTGGTAAGTTATGACTTATTTGGGACATTTCTATAAGATTCCCAAAAAGTTATACTTGTTTGACATAAGTCCTCAATTTTTCATGTACTTTTGTTTCTCAATGTCTATATACAAGTTATTATATAAAAAGAAAAGAAATTCCAGTCTGTGATCGGCTTGTTCACATAAACAAAACCTTTTCATATAGTGTACGCTACACATTGCATGAAAGGGATTCTTTTCCAGGATGCCCCAAATATAAACTTTGCATGAAGAGATACTTTCCAAAAGAAAAAAAAAACATTTTTTTTACGAAAACCTACAATCCAACAAAAGACGTGAAGAATTTAAAATGTTATTTTTAGGGGTGTACATAGATCGAGTTAGTTTGGATTTTTCAATTACCAAATCAAATCAATGGTGTCGGATTTTTAAATCTATAAACCATACCAAACCAATAAAGTCGGATTTTTCAATCTCGATTTTTCTCGGGGTTTTTCGTTTTTTTCCGGGTTTTCGGATTTTTTTCCGGGTAAAGTCATCATAGCACAAAATATATAACTTGTGTTCCAATTATTTCTTTAGTCCTAGTAGGATACAACTATATAATGTATTTTTTAAGAAAATAACACAATAATATGAGATTAGTCACAACATTGTACTAAATAATATATTCAATAACAAAGATAATAAAATCGCATAAATAAAATATTACTAATTAATACGCCATAATAAAAATTAAGATAATCTAAAAATACTATATAGGTAATGCTAAAATAAGTACATCTAATAAGTACTAATTAATTACACAACTAAGTACTAAAGAAAAAAATAAGCTAGGTTATGCATTTTTCATTATAAACCAATATAAAACTAAAAAATGGATATCCAACACTATTGTCATTCTTAGTATTGAATTGAATTTTCTTTTATCAGGATTAGTATTGATTTGAACTTTATTTGACTTACTACTTTTTGGGTAAAATTTATTGGACCATTCAAGAATGTTAAGTCCAAACTTTAAATAATACGTTTAAAGATAAAATTGTGAACAAGTTTAACAAATATTTATAAATTATATTACAATAAATATTTATATGATGAAATATTTTAAAAAATTGTACAAATGTAATGTCGGGTTGGTTTGGTTTCGGTTTGACTTTTTTTTAGATAAAACCAAACCAAATCAATTATGGTCGGATTTTATTTGCCAACACCAAAATAAATCAAACTAACCCACAATCGAGGTTTTTATCCGATTTGACTCGATTTATCAGTTTTCTCAGTACAATCCCTGGTTATTATTCCAAGAAATGAGGTGAGGTGGTAACAAGGATTTTAAACTAGTCATCATCATCAAGCACTAATATACCTAACAAGATAACAAAATTAAAAGTTACAACGATCAGATCATTATATCCAAATCAAAGTCATCCTAAAATCCCAATTGATCATTATATCCGAATCAAAGCCATTAATTAATTAATTATATATCCAAATCAAA